TGTAAAAACAAGTGATAAAGAGTTCATCTATTTAACAGAATTGTAACTATTAGAAGAAGTTCTTGCCAATAAAATATAAGTGGTTTGTGGTTTGAAGCTGCAACCACATTTGTTATAAAGGTAATTGGAAAAAAAAACCCAATTGGGGGTAATAAGAAAACAGGAAACCACAAGCCTATAACCCCATTATGTGGATTGGACCTCATCCACATAATAGACAAACCCTGGATCACATTCATCCTCCCCTGGCCCTTCGCAAGACAGATCAACAACAACTCTGGGACCAAGCTTCAGGCAGAGACAGTCCGGTCTGTTTCCAGCCACTTGGTTAGCCATGTAGGGAATCGCAAGGACCTGCTGGTTTCAGCTCTGCACTAACTCACCCAGAACAAGCACTAGTGGAGGAAGTAAGAGGAAGACTTGTTCTAATCTAGAGACTTACAGTTTAGTGGTGGAGAATATTCATCCTGGGGCTGGTCTGTGCCTGGTTGAGCCCAGCTGTCACTTATGAGCTTATGACCTTGAACAAGTTACTTAACATCTCTGGGCCTAAGTTGTCTTATCTATAAACTGAGATTAATGAGTATCCTCTTTGAATAGTTATGAAAATTAGAGAATTGATAAATCTGAAACCTTAAAGGAACATCGAGTATACAGTAAGCACCATATAAGTGTTTACTATTGTTATTGCTATTATTATTATTACAATGAATAATGGGCAAAGCTGGACAACAATGTGATGGGCTGTTTTGAGGAGAGTATTCCATCACTGGTGTAAGCAGAGCTGAGGTGGTTGTAGGGTTCAGCTTTGGACCTTGAGTTTCAATGCTAGTGAGACATCCAATTAGGCTTATTGAGCATTATTCATTCTTTTTTCAAGTAGGCTCCACACCCAGCATGGAGCCCAACATGGGGCTTGAACTCACGACCCTGAGATCAAGACCTGAGCTGAGATCAAGGGTTGGACGCCTAACTGACCCCCCAGGTGCCCCATTATTCATTCTATTTATTTAATTCCACAAATGTATACTGAGCAGCTATTCTGTACCTGACACTATGGTAGGTCCTGGAGATACTGGGATGAATCAGACAGTCCCAGCTCTCAAGGACCTGATAATCTAGGACGGATGGGAAGTAGGAATCATCTCTTGTGTAGCGAGTTCAGTGCCACAATACCAGCACATATGAGGCTCATAGACAGCCAGGGTAGGGAATCAGGGCAGGCTTCCTGGAAGAGGCAGGAAGAAGCAAGGTCCCCTGGACCATATTCAGGATCTGCGGAATGCAGAGTAGGGAGGATCTGCCCTTGCTGGCCCATGATTAACAGAAGATTTGGCTTCCAGTGCTGATAGTCATTTTCCCCAGGCCCTATACTAAGTGGAATCACTTGGGCCTTCCCATCCTTACTGCTTCTGGAAAAGAAAATTCTTGTGAGTCTCTAAGATGTTTTCTAAATCTCTTTGCACACACGTTTTATTGATCAAGGTTTCAGTATGATGGTTTTGCCTTAATCCCTTTATCTTTTGGTGGAGGGAGATGGAAATTGAAGTTTCTTCAGAAGGTGGGTCAATCATAACTAAAAGAGACTGCATTTCCTGGATCACTGAATCAAGACAGCTTGAGCCAAGAGGATTGGGCTAATTTCTGTGCTGCTGCATCCCTGTCCGAGACAGTTCCCCGCCTTGGCGTGCTCCTTGCCACAGATGTTCCTATTGTGAATTTATGTCAACCATGTTCAAAGTGACCACGTTAAGGGGTAAAGCTCTGGGGAGTCAGGAGAAAAATTAAAAAAGAAAGCCACACACATGTACTGTTTACTCGATAATAAAGACAAATATGTTCACATCCTGTCATCTCAGGCATGAATAACTCCAGTAGTGCTCTCAGCGAGGAGGCCCTGTCAGGAAACACTGCCAAGTTTCTCCTTCCCCTTCCTGACTTCCATTCTTGCCTGCCTGTTCTTCAGGCTCTGGTTAGTGCTTTCAATTCTTTCTGTTCTTTGTTAATTACCCCTCTTTCAGCCAGGATCATGGTCGGTCTGGCAAGGAGCATGCCAAGGTGGGGACCTGTCTGGGACAGGGATGCAGCAGCACAGAAATTAGCCCAATCCTTTACTCCTATTATCGAGTAAATAGTACATGTGTGTGGCTTTCTTTTTAAATTTTTCTCCTGACTCCCCAGGGCTTTACCCCATTAGGGGGTTGGCTTTCGAAGTTTGCTGCCCATGAGAGTTATAGTACCCCGACCAATGATGTCAGAATTTCTGGGGGTGGGGCCCAAGCATCAGTGTTAAACTCCCCAGGTGCTTCCAATGTGCACTCAAGTTTGAGAACCTCTGAGCTGGACCCTCACTATTCAAAATGTGGTTGGTGGAGCTGCAGCCCCACCAGGGAGCTTGCTGGAGATGCACATTCTCAGTTCCCACCAAAGACTTACTGATTCTGAATCTGCATTTTAACAAGATCACCCAGTGCATAAAAGTTTGAGAAGCAGTTACCTTTTTGAAGCATTGGCCAGTCTGGCAAAAATGAGCCCAAATTCTGTCTTGGCAACTACCTGCAGGAGCTGAGTGGTAGCTGCCCCCTTTAAGAGGGGATTCGACACTCAGTTTGCCTGCGTCTCACACCTCATTAGGTTCATTAACTTCCATCACCTGGCTGGGCGCAGTCAGAATTTGAGTTGTTCTAAAATTATAAAATAAAGTTTACCGTTAGTAACATGTAGTGAGTTCACGATGTTGTGTAATTGTCACCACTATCTAGTTCCAGAACATTTCATTACCCCAAAAGGAAACCTCATATTTATTAAGCAGTCACTCCCCAGCCCCCTCTCCCCTCAGCCTCTGGCAACCATTAATCTGGTTTTCTGTCACTATGACTTTGCTTATTCTGGATGTTTCATAGAAAAGGAATGCATAATGTTTTCAAGGTTCATCCATGTTGCAGCATGTATTGGTACTCTTCCTTTTTTGGCTGAATAATATTCCTTTGTATGGGCATATCTCATTTCATGTATCCATTCATCATTTGATGGATATTTGGGTAGTTTTAACCTCCCGGTTACTGTGAGTAGCGCTGCTATGAACATTTGTGTGCAAGTTTTTGTTTGAATACCTGTTTTCAATTCTCTGGGCTATGTGGAATTGCTGGGGCAGAGTTTTAGAACAACCTGGCACACTGAGGTTTCATACCAGTGTTCAATGGGTAAAATTTGAGCAGCACAACCTAGTGGTTCTACTCTAGAGTGTGTGTGTGTGTGTGTGTGTGTGTGTGTGTGTGTGTGTATAAACATATATATATGTTTAAGCTGGAGAACATTATATAAAGCGGAATGGAACTGCTGACTCATGTGATAATTCTATGTGTAACTTTTTGAATAGCCAAACTGTTTTCCATAGCAGCATTTATATTCCTACCAGTCATGTTTGAGGGCTCCAATTTCTCCACATTCTTGCCAACACTTGTTATTGTGTTATTTTTTCCCCCCTTAATTCTAGTCATCCTAGTGGTGGTGCAGTGGTATCTCACTCTGCTTTTGACTTGTATTTCCCTAATGAGTAGTGATGAGTATCTTTTCATGTGTTTCTTGGCCATTTGTATATAGTCTTTAGAAAAATGTCTATTTAAGTCCTTCGCTTACTTAAAAACTGGGTTGCCTTTTTGTTATTGAGTCGTAAAATTTCTATATGTATTCTGGATACTAGGCTCTTTTCAGATACATGATTTGCAAATATTTTCTACCATTCTGTGAGTTGTCTTTTTCATTTTCTTGATGTTCTTTGATGTACAAAAGTTTTAAATTTTGATGAAGTCCAATTTATCTATTTTTTTCTTTTGTTGTTTGTGCTTTTGGTATTATATGGAATTTGAGATTTTGTCACCTGGACAAGGTCAATGGATAGGAAGAGAAAGGGATTTGAGGGGAAAGGGAACAGGGATTTCTCGAGGTCTCCATCTCTAGTTCAACCAGAAGATCTGAGCATTTATCTGCTTTATATAATGTTCTCCAGCTTAAATATATATATAATCAATAGATTAGAACCACTAGGTTGTGCTGCTCAAATTTTAACCATGGAAAACAAGTGTGAAACCTCGGTGTGTCAAATTGTTCTGAAAACTAGTCCTAAATGGTATATGTAGTAATTAAAACATTATGTGTTTCCTGGTTTCAATTAAATTTCATTTGTAATAAAAAAGCATACATTTTTGGAAAAGCAAGCAATGTTTCTCGCAAAATGCTCCATTTACCACACTTTTGGTAATTCAGGATTTGGTCCAAATCCAAACCCACTGTCTACCTGGTGGCATCTCACCCACACTGAAGGAATATTCTATGGTAAATATAGCCAAGTTCATGCACACCAGCTTTGGTACCAGGTGCTGTATTTGCCTGATGTCACAGAGCAGGTGAGAGTTTGAACCCAGGGGTTCCCATTTCAAATCTAAGGCTCTGTCCCCTAGGCCATACTTTCAAAGTAAAGTCAGATGAATCATCCATTGATCTTTTTTTAACAGACAGCACTAGCGTTACTAGCTGCTATTATTTTTGGAAGCTTTCTATATGCCAGGCATTGTGCTGAAAACCTTTACAGCTAATCTTTCCAACAACCCAGGAAGCGGTTCCGTAATTATCCTCGTTTTACTACTGAAGAAACCGAACTGAGGTTACATAACTTGTTCCAGCAACCAGTGGTAAATGTCAGAGCTAGAACTTAACCCAGAGCTGACTCCTAGACCCATATTCTGAACCACCAAGCAAGACTATTATTTTAAAGATGACCGGGTCCTGAAAACTGACCTCAGCCCCGCCCCTTCTAGATTACATTCCAGCAGGTATTCTCGGCTCTCGACGCCGGCGCAAGCTCCGCCCACCGCCCGCCCTTCCGCCCGGATCTCCTCAAATTGCGCAGGCGCTCTCCTTTTCAGAGGCTGTACTGTGGAGTCGACGGGTTGGCGGGCACGCTTCGGCGCGCTAATGCGCATGCACGGGGGTAGAGCCTCCGCCCTTTGGGGAGCTTGGAGATGGCGGCAGCCGGGGATGCTTCGCGGGAGCCGGCGGCCTCGGAGCCGCCGGCGGAGCTGCCTGCCTCGGTGCGGGCGAGCATCGAGCGGAAGCGGCAGCGGGCGCTGATGTTGCGCCAGGCCCGGCTGGCGGCCCGGCCCTACCCGGCGACGGCGGCTGGGGCTACCGGAGGTTTGGGCCCTGGCGGCGCCTGCCCCTTCCCTCTGGCGGGCCGGGTGCCGCGTCCTAGGTGCAGCGTCGGCTGCCCGCGCGTCTGCGCGCCTGTCCTCCCGCAGTCCCGGGAGTCCGGTCTGCGGGCCCTTTGAAAGCGGGCTATGACCACCAGCGGTTCCGCGCTGGAGCTGAGGCTTTCCTCACTGCACCCGGGTGGCCCAGCTCTCCTCTTAGGCTTGGGGGATGCAGCCGCCCTCACCGTCGGGAGGTGCCAGTCAGTGTCGGTCGGCGCCGTAGCTTTCCTTTTCTGTTCCAGCTGCGCGTCCACCGGTCCCAGGGGCAGTCCTTGTATAAAGCTTTTAGACTTGTCGCCCATTGCAGCAATCATCCTGCACCGCGCTCGAATTCATCCACTCAGCAAAGGGCGAATGAGTGCCTATTCCGGATCCCGCACAGTGCTCGCTACGTGCTGGGCACAGAGAGAGCAGACAGGAGCTACTGCCTTCGTGAGGCTCTCAAGAGTAGCACCTGTTGTGTTTCAGGTCTTTCAAGTTAGCTAACTTGATTCTCACTGTAAACTTGTTAAATAATTAGGGCAGCGTTTGGTACTGGTGTTTTACTGCGGTGGTAATTGAGGACCAGAAAAGGAAAGGGATCTGCTCAGGTTCATACCAGCAAGTGCACAAGCTAATCAGGACTAGAATTGAGCTCATCTGATACTGGGTTCACGGCCTTTCCTTTTCACCAACTGCTGCTTCTGGGCCAGGCATTGCCTCACTTTTAGGAATAAAGGCTGTTATTTTTGTCTGAATTTTATCTTTCCCCCTTTCTAAGGGCAGGCCTTGACTGCGTGTCTTTCATGTATGAACATTTCTGTCACTTAATTTTCCACTGTAGTCCAGTAATAATCTTCCCTAGGGTACTTAAAATAGTTTGGTTGACATGTAGGTCTTCAGGAGTGCCTCTGTAACGGGAAGTACGCATGTTCCTAAAGCTATATCCCATACTGTGTGAATAGTTGAGCACAGTTTGGAGCTGTGTCCTCTACTACCCCTTTTCATCAACCAGAAGAAAGGAAGAATGGCAGGAAGCTGGGGCTGGCAGCATGTCTTGATATTCATACAGACACTGAATCCACAAATTACAGCCACTTTTAATGGTTCTGGTCTCATCCTTTCTGTTTTCTAGTTTTCTTATTCCTTTCTCAAGTCAGGACAAAAGTTGTTTATTTGTGTTAATTCATATTCATGATTTCATAAAGGTTTGTACTAAATGACTGTGGAACAGGGGTGCAAAAAAGAACATAGACCGGTATTAAACTTCTGATCATGGAAAGCAGGGTAGAATCCACTGTGCTGTGACATGGGATACACCTCGCTGTGCCTCAGGAGCTTGGTTTTGACCAGCTGGAGTAGTCAAGACCTTAACTTGAGCAAGATACTGAAGGATGCTCAATCATGCCAAGACAAAGTCCCCTTTCTCTCTGCTGCTTTACCTTGCTGTTTCCCCAAGCCTTTAGCACCACATTCTAAGCAAGTTCTTCTCAGTCTTTTCCATGGCCTATGTCCTAGCTCAGACAAAGTGAAAATTGTACAGTATGCTGAAATAAAAGTACTGAAGATAAAAATCTCGGCACCAAATATAATATTGAGGCTTCCAATCTGTGCGTGGTCTATTTCTCCATTTATATTTAGGTCTTTGATTTCTTTTAGTGGTGGTTGCATTGTAGAGCTTTTACACCTCTTTTCCTAGATGTTATTTCTTAATTCTAATTGTAGATTCTCATGAATATTCTCCATATATAATCACATCATCTGTGGATAAAGACTGTTTTACTCCTTTCCAACCTTTATGCCTGTTTTATTTTCTTATCAACTTGCTCTAGTTGGGCCCTTCAGTATAATGTTCAGTAGAAGTGCTAACAGTGGACATCCTTGTCTTGTTTGATATATATTAAATTTAAAGAATCTGTTTATGCACAAAGGAACATATGGGCTTACCTAGTTAAGTCATTCACCACTTTTACTTTTCATAGGTATGGCTAATGTAAAAGCAGCCCCAAAGATCATTGACACAGGAGGAGGCTTCATTCTGGAAGAGGAAGAAGAAGAACAACATACAATTGGAAAAGTTGTCCATCAACCAGGTAAAGCGTATTTTCAGAAAATAGGTATCTGGATTGGTCATTTTGAGTAACTTGCATAATTCTTTGTAAATTTATGTTAATGCCATACTTGTCAGCTTTGTAAGAGGGATACAGTTTGGCAGTTTTGCTAATAGATTAAAAATTAAACAGATTTGGCAATGGTTAACTTGTGGTTTGTGTACTTAGGGTTGATGCTGTTATTTTAAAATAGGCAGGGATAGCCAATATATTGACTGATAGTATACTCCATTGTCTTGATAGGCCGAAATGAGGGGCTAGAACCCAAGAAATAAAATTTAGGACATTCTTTTATTTGGAGGAAAAATGGGATATATATATCCTTGTATCCTTGGGGAGGCTTAAAAAACCTATTTAGTTTTAGATGTGGCAACAGAAATGTTATATGTTCATCAAGGTAGGTAAGAGTCCTCTTCTATTCCACTGTTTTCAGATGCTGAGACTTGAAGGATTAAAATATTTGTTCAGTTTGGGTGCCATATTTAAGGGGGATATTGACAAGTGTATAGTGTCCAAAACAGAGTGGTCAAAATGGATGTCTTCAAATTGACATGTGAGGAACAGTTGTCAAAACTGGTTAGGTTTAACTGAGAGGACACGTCTAACTGCCTGTGAGTGTAAGAAGTGCTTCTCTCTGGAAGAGAGATTATACTTTAATTTGCTTTGGAGGGCAGAACTTGGAACAGTGGGTGACAATTACAATACAGTGAGGGAGGTTTCAGCCCAGTACCGTGCATGTATTTAGTACTTTGCACTTATAGAATGTTGGCACATATTTTATGTGAGTCTCATGGTGACTCTGTGAAATGGAAAAACTTCCTAACTGTGGGAATTGCTGCTTCTAAATAGCAAAACAGGGAGGGGTTCAGAGATTGAAAGACCTGACCAGGATATATTAGAGAAGCCTGTATGAGGAGGGAAGGCCTTGGATTAAAGACCTTTAACATCCCTATGATTTTATGAATATAAAGACTCATTGTAACTTTAGTCTGCAGATTTTGGATTCAACTGGGGCTATAAGCCTATACTTTCATTTAACAGGTCATACAACAAATTTTTTTTTTTAAGATTTTATTTGTCAGAGAAAGCACGTGTACACAAGCAGGGGGAGCGGCAGGCAGAGGGAGGAGCAGACTCCCCACTGAGCATGGAGCCCAATGCAGGACTCGATCCCAGGACCCTGGGATCGTGACCTGAGCTGAAGGCAGAGGCTTAACTAACTGAGCCACTCAGGCGCCCCATCACACAACAAATATTTATTGTAACCTGTTGTAGTGCCTTCCTGTTTAATGAAGGTATACCTGTGGCATTGTCTGTTACTCATGCATTGATGGTATGGCTGTTGCATGCGAATAGGACTTCGGTCATGAATTTGTGGAAGTTAGAAAAGGTGTGTGTTGGTTTGCAGACTGGCCTGGCACACAGAGGGCAAGAGACTGGAGGAGTCAGGCCACTCCAGATTGGTAGGTGGCAGCTTTAATTAGCAAGGGAATGTAGGAGGCGTCTCGGGTGGCTGCAAGATGAGTAGATCTCTGCACCCACCTGCCAGATCTTCACAGTTTATATAGAGGCTTACCTGTGTTCAGTCACATATTCAGGTCAGATGGCCTCAACGAGACCTTACTCTCCCAAGGGTTTGTCCTTGGAACAGCTCCCACTGTGGGATTGGTGGGCAGAATGAGCACTCCAAGAACAGGGTAGGGGGTGAGGAGTCTCTAATCCCCAGATCCGCCTCATAGGTCAGCTGGCCATCACATCCTCTCGATCACCTCCTTCAACAGTGTCCCCTTTGGGAGACAGATTAGAAAAGGTCCTCATTCTCTGGGCTGACTTAGTCTGGGAGAGGGAGAGAGACACTCCAGCAGATTCCCCACCTGAGCGCAAAACCTGTCATGGGGCTAAGCCTAACGATCCATGAGCTCATGATGTGAGCAGAAATCAAGACTCAGACACTTAACCAGCTGAGCCACCCAGGCGCCCCTCTATCTATCATGTTTTCTTTGTTAATTTTTTAATTTATTCATTTGAGGCAGAGAGAAAGAGCAATGAGCAGGGAAGAGAGGGAGAGGGAGAAGCAGACTCCTCGCTGAGCAGGGAGCCCGATGTGGGGCTCGATCCCAGGACTCTGGATCATGACCTGAGCCGAAGGCAGACACTTAATCAACTGAGCCACCCAGGCGCCCCTTTGTTAATTTTTAAAAAGCTTCAGCATAGCTGAGAAAAATCAAAATTATTTGGGCCATTAAATTATTTGGGTCGTTTGCCTATAAAGCAAAGCCTATCAAATGCTTTTAAAATCTAGAATAGAGGTTCATCAGAATCACTAGGAAGGTGCTAAGGGAAGGGGGGGTGAAGGTGATTAAAAGATATGGACTTCTAGTTATAAAATAAGTCATGAGGGTGTGTTGTACAGCATGGCAACTAGTTAATATTACCGTGCTGCATATTGGAAAGCTGCTAGGAGAATAGATCTACAAAGTTCTCATAAGAAAGATTTTGTAAACTATGGTGACAGATGTTAACTAGACTTGATAATTTCACAATATATGTAAATATTGAGTCACTATGTTAGACATCTGAAACTAATACAATGTCAGTTATACCTCAAAAAGATATGTGTGCACATGTGAGTACTTGTGTGTGCGCGTACATATGTGTACACACACATGCATGTATTTCTTAGCTCTGTCCACAGAAAGGGCCTTGAAGCGAAGATAACCCAGTGGCAGTGAGCATACCTGGTGTCCAGATCTTGGACTCTGATACTGTTCCCCCACCGAAAGGAGCCAGGGCCCTCCAGAGAAATAGCTGATTCTAGGGTTGGGGCAGGATGGCCACCAGGTGAGTTTGGAACATTCTGTAATGCCAGAAATATGTAAGTGTTTAAAAGTGATGAAAGTGTGTTACACAGCTTGAAGGGGCTCCTACTAGCCAAATCTGAGACCATTTGAGCACCAGAGTCAATAAGGACACTACTGAGTGATAAAGCCATTGGAAAAAAGAGGAATCTGTGAGTCTGTATCAATCATAATTAGGTACATGAGTGAATGAATGGTGGGGAGGGAAGGCCCTTGCTAGCACTAGACTGCCAGTTTTCACGTGGTAAATTTAAAGGGAGTGAAGGAGTAGAAAAATCATCATCATGTACATTTAAAATTTTCCATCATAAAGACTTTCTAAAATTAGGAAAATGTTCCACACATTTTATGGCTTTCGATTAATAATGCCGTTCAGTAGTCTCCTAATTGGTATGTCAGACCTCTGTTTTTCTCCATTCTAACACATTCTAGTAATCAAGTTTTTGAAGATCTTTGCCTATATTTTTAACTTTTCCTTTTGTCTATGGCCGTGTCCCACTAATATTTTATAAGGAAGAGTGATATTTTTGTTAGAGTTTGGAGATAGTGGAATTAAGGGGTGGTAGAATATTAACTGACCTTGTTGTGTTGGAAGTAGGTAAGGGAAGGCAGTGATAGGAATGTGTCGAACCAGCTGTGGACAAATGATGACTCCCTTCTTTCCACTGGGGGTTGTGGCAGTTCTCAGAGCTGGGGCTTGGCAGCAGCAGTCATCCTAAAGACATGCTAGTAAAACTTTCAGATTTGCTGAGAGAACCAGACTTTGAGATTTGCTGAGAAATTCTATAGGATAAAGATCCTTAGCCAGGTATTTGAAGTCCTCAAAAAAATTGAGTTTTACTCTACCTAGAGTAGTTTCTGTGCTGGGAGTTGAGGATACATAGCTAAATATAATCTTCACCCTCAAGTTTACAATCTCATTGTTGAGGTATTTACTCTGTTGGTGGTGGTGGTGGGGAAGGTGGAGTGGAGGGGGAGAAAGTTCCCCATTTGAAAGTGAATTCTGTGTTGTCTCTTCTGTTGACTTGCACTTTACTACTCTTTCTGTGTTATGTGTTAGTGCCCATTTTCCCTGTCTGTAAGCGGCCCCCTCTGCTCCCTTCTACTCTGGGATTCACCTCCTTTGTACTCTCAACAGTATGGTGGTAGGCCGAACAGTGGTCCCCAAAGATGTCCACATTCCAATCACCATGGAACCCATGATATATGATCGTACATAACAAAAGGGACTTTGCAGATATGATTAAGGTTAAAGACCTTGAGATGTGTGGGAGATTATTCTGTATTATCCAGGTGGGCCCAGTGTAATTATAGGTACTTAAAAGGCAAGAGAGAGGCACAGGGAGATGTGATTATGGAAGAAGCCAGAGTGACGGGAGAAGCTGCTACTGCCAGTTTGGAAGTTGGAGGAAGGGAGTCCTGAGTCAGGGCAGGACTGAAAATGGCAGGTAATAGATTGTGTCCTAAAACTTCCAGAAAGGAATGCAGCCCTGCCTGCACCTTGACTGTAGCCCACTGAGACCCATGTCAGACTTACAAACTACAGATCTGTAAGATAATAAGTTTGTGTTATTTTAGCCAGAAGATTTGTGGTAATTTGTTACAGTAGCAATACAGAGCTAATGCAAGCACCTTACACATGGTTTCGGGTTCAAACGTGCTTGATGAATTGATAGTTTTTTCCTTAAAAAATTTTTTTAAGATAAATAGAAGTTTACTTAATCATGGTTTTGTCTTTGATGTAAATGTATTTGTGTCCATTATAAAGTACATGCTGATAAACTTAAGATAGGGGAAAATACATTGTTCTAAGTCACAAAAAAGTAAACTTAAAGAATTAACCTTCCTTTCTTTAGGACCTGTTCTGGAATTTGATTATGCAGTATGTGAAGAATGTGGTAAAGAATTTATGGATTCTTACCTTATGAGCCACTTTGATCAGGCAACTTGTGATAACTGCAGGTACTTAGTTCAGATGATGTTCTCAATTGCTAAAGTTTAGTGTTCGCATGTAGGTTTAGGGCAAAACCATAATTAGATCCATGTGGATTTAATATTAGTAATTACAATTTTTGTTTTAGCTGTTTCCTAAAATTTCTGTGGTTTCCATTTTGTCAAAGAAATACAGGAAGCCTGTGCTTATCACAGTGATGAGGACAGCCCTGGTTCAGCTGTCGATCTGTCCTCCTTTCTGTGGGCCTGGCGGGTCTTTACCCTCTGTCATTAGCAAGTTCCTAACCCCTCTCTTCCCCCAGTCCCTGAGGGTCCCCTTTGTCTTACCCTGGGATATGTGGACACCTTCGTCGGAGGACTGGGACCTTCAGTGAGAGAGGGGACTGAAGGGGAGAGAAGAGAGGAGGAAGAGTCACCTTCTTCTCTCAGCCTTTTTCTTCTTCTCCTGGCCTCTGGCCTCTTCCTGTCACCCCAGGATAATGCTTCTCACTCCTCATGGTTCCGTCCCTACTGTTGACCCCAGCACGTCCTGTGTTGGTGTCTTTCATGCCCTAAGACCCCATCTGGGATTCTTACTGAGCCCTCTCCTCTGTTCCCTGGTCCTTCTTCTGGACCGGCTACCCTAGATCACCTGCTCACTTGCCTGGAGGACCTGGCTTCTCCGAGTCCCTGCTGCAGGGGAGGGAGACATTCCCACTGACTTGTTGCTGGGTAGAATCCTGAGGAGAGGAAATGGGAGATATTGCTCGACTCACGATCAGATCTGTGACGGGAAATGTCTGGCTCCCGGGGCACCTGGGTGGCTCATTTGTTAAGCGTCTGCCTTTGGCTTAGGTCGTGATCCCAGGGTCCTGGGATCGAGTCCCGCATCGGGCTCCCTGCTCTGCGGGAAGCCTGCTTCTCCTTCCCCCCCCCGCTTTTTCTTTCTCTCTCTCTCTCTCTCTCTCTCTCTGTCAAATAAAAATCTTAAAAAAAAAAAAAAAGTTAAAAAAAATGTGTGGCTCCCATTGGAATTACAAATTATAAACTCTGTTCCCATTGACACACAGTGGTTAAGAGCAACAGTATTATCACTTATTAAAGTATGGATGGATAGCTTTTGGGAACGAAATTATCACCTATAATCCTATTTCCCTGAGAAGATGGAAGCAACTAATGTATCAATTTAAAGAAAGTTGTGTAGTAGTCTGGAAAAAAGATACTTTTAAACTTTAATTAGGAACACAGCCCTCCATTGTGTTTCCTTTCAATATCTTCGAAGATTTTAATTTTAGTAGAGTACCTGTCCCTCTTTTAGCTTAAACTTCTAAGTTATTTAGCTTTCATAAAGTTATTCCCAATTTTAAGTCTCTCCTCCCCTCCCTGACCTATACCTCATTTCAGTGAAGGCCAACTTCATTGGCTGTTTCTCTCATCCCGTGTTTAATTCCAAACCCAGTTGGTTCTATGTTCCTTCCGTATCCTTGCTTCGCCCCCTTGCCCCTCCCACCACTACCTCAGCCCAGGCCGCCATCAGCCCTTGTCTGGAGCACGGCACTGGTGGTCTTCTGACTGGCCTGTGCCCCCAACTTGGCACCACTGGCTTCTTCTCCGGAGACGTTTTAGTCAGAACTCTCCAACGGTTTTTAATCCATGTAGACTAGAAGTGTCCCCACACTGCTTAGAGGGCTCCCACATGTCCGACTGGATCTCCCGGCCTCCTCACCGTCTTCCCTCCCTTAAGCCTTCCGGTCCCACTGGCTCACTTGCTGGGAGTCCAGTTGCGAAGCGCACTCCTGCCCCAGAGCCTTTGCACTTGCTGTTCTCTCTGCTTAGGATGTTCTTTCTCCAGCTGTTCAGAATGTTCTCTGACTTTTTAAGGGCCCTGCTCAAAAGCCCCCTCATCAGTGGCCCTCTTTGATTACCCAGTCTATCAAAATCTCTGTTCTTTACCATGCTTTGTGTTTCTTTATAGCACTTTTATCTGTCATTATGTTTGCTTATTGTCTTCTCCTAACCAGAATGGGAGCTTCATGAAAACAAGGCTTTGTCTTCTTTGCTGTTTTTCTAGTACTTTGAGTCATACCTGGCATGTAGATGGAGAACAAAATAAATGAGAAGAACTATGTAACTGACTCTACCTCCACTTTTACCTTGACTTTGAACAAGCTCAGAGCCAATTGGAAGCTCAAGTGTGTTGGGGTAGTTGGACCTTGTGTACTTATATTCCATCCATGAGCTATTTTCTTACCCATTGAGTCTTCTCATTTATATTTGCTGTACTCTTAGTCATTTCAAATCCACTGTGGCAAAGAGGGACTTCAAGTAAGTAGAAAGAAATTCTTATTAAATGACCTGGATCTGCTGCTAATATAATATAGCTTCTCCAGGTAAGTAAAAGATAAAGTATTTTTCTGTTTAGAATTTTTATCCTAACTTGACTGTGAGAGTTGAAGGAAAAACTATTTTAGTTTTTTAAAGATTTTTTCTTAATTTGAGGGAGAGCGAGCACGTAGAGTGAGTGAGAGAACCTGAGTAGGTGGGGAGAGGCAGAGGGAGCCAGAGAAGCAGGCTCCCTGCTAAGCAGGGAGCCTGATGCGGGGCTCAATCCCAGGACCTCAGGATCATGACCCGAACCAAAGGCAGACGCTTAACTGACTGAGCCACCCAGGCGCCACAGGAAAAATTGTTTTAAAATAATGTTTTGGCAAGCATGCCCCTAGGTTGTTGGACTATTTGAAAACGTAGTTTATTTAAAATAACTAACATAGTACTGGACTTAATTTATTTTTAGAGATGCTGATGATAAACACAAGCTCATAACTAAAACAGAAGCCAAACAAGAATACCTTCTGAAAGACTGTGATTTAGAAAAAAGAGAACCAGCTCTTAAATTTATTGTGAAGAAGAATCCTCATCATTCACAATGGGGTGATATGAAACTCTACTTAAAATTACAGGTCTCTGATACATTATACTTGGTCATTTTAAGTCCTTGGTTGGGTGAAGTTTTAACTGTAAACTAGGTATAATTAGTTTAGTTTTGCTTACAGAGCTAAAAAGATCCTTTTCCTTCTGTTTTGTATATGAGTCATAGTCGTATGTAATGACATTTAATAACATCTGGTTTTACTTTTTGGTGTGGCACTTTGGGGCAAATATATTACTATTAGGTAATGTTACTAGTACAATTTGGGAACTAAGTTGGGATTAAGAGTTGGGCCCCATTACCCTACCCGCCCACCCTCCAAATGAAAATCCTAGAAAGTTTCAGGAATTTCACAGATGCCTAAAATCTAACTCCACTTGGGAAATGCTCATCTGGAACAGTGTCGTGTCCATGTAACTCTGCTGTGTCTCAGAGTGGGTCTTCTCAACCTCACGTGTTGTAGTGGTGTGCAGAGATAGTTACCCACTTAGTGTGGGTGCCTTGAGTCAGAGCCTCCTGTATCTATCCCGGAATAGTACACACGTTCTATTTTTGTGCCATTATGTAAAAAAATGTTGGGAGGCATTGGTTTAGAGTAGGTTGACTGGAAAATACTAGAAAATTCTCGTAGCTTCAAATAAAATTAAGAAACTACATTGTAAAGCCAGTCACTTATTGAATTTTATTAAACCTAAGACACCATTAATTAGAAGATTCACCATTATTTTATGTATCATTAAAATGAAAAAACGCCAACCCAATGCTTTCTTATCACTTGAAGCTTTTATTTTATACTTACTGAAATAGTGCCATTAGATTTATTAGTTTATTTTTTTGTTATATATCACGCTTGTGCATACATACATAAGAAATGCAACTACAACAGATTTATTAAGGTATTCCTAAACTTCTTTGCATTGAGTCCAATTCTTCTGAACCACTTTTTGACTCAGCTGTTAAAGCACCAGTGAGCAGGTGGCTGGTGCTGCAGCATTTCAGGGTGTTAAAGTGTGGAAAATGTGATGTTTGAGAATTTAGGAAATGCCAGATATCACTTGATCATGTCAGGAAGAAATTTGAGTTTGGCTACCTTGACTGATATTTTGGTTCCCTTAACATATTGTGAGAGAGATCCTGAGCATAATTCTTAGTGTGTTAGTCTCCTAAGTGTAAATAAATGTTATAAAGAGTAAAGATATTATAATGTAAAGTTTTTAAACTAGAATAAAGACTTTAGGTCATTCAGGTACTAGAGTTTAAAAAAAAAAAAAAGTTGACATTGTAAAGATCCAAAGTTAGTAATGGACCAAGGAGGGAAAGGGCAGTAGTGACTGATTCTCTGTGGTGAGAGGTTTTTGGAGATGGTCTCATATTCAGATGGACTGTGGCTAATTGGTCTGCAGATTGTTTTGGCGAGTGTGACAAAACTCATCAGACCCACTGACTACTGGTACTTCGGTGGATTCGTGTGAAAACAGTCACAGAGAAGCAGTTACAGTCAGAGGACACCTCTTGTACTTACAGTCTAACCAAGCCTGCATTTAGGCTGAGGTTCCACAGGTTTAGATAGAGGTGTCATTAGGGTTGTTTCTTAGCACTATTTAAAATCTCTTCAAAATTTCAAATACTTATAAAATTGCCCTTGAATGAGATCATGTTTTGGTGTCCATGGATTTAATCATTATGACTTTATAATACTTAACAACTGAAATCTGGATTCTGTGTTGTAGATTGTGAAGAGGTCTCTTGAAGTTTGGGGTAGTCAGGAAGCATTAGAAGAAGCAAAGGAAGCTCGACAGGAAAACCGAGAGAAAATGAAACAGAAGAAGTTTGATAAGAAAGTAAAAGGTAAGTGGAGGGGTGCCTGGCTGGTTCTGTGGGTAGAGCGAAAGACTCTTGATCTCAGGGTTGTGAGTCCAAGTCCTACATTGGGTGTAGAGATTACTTAAAAATAAAATCTTAAAAAAAAAGTAAGTGGCTACATTGATCTCATGAAGGACTGTTTATTGACTTGCAAAAAGACCTTAGGTAAGTTGTTCTTGTTTAAAGATCTGTCACCAGTAGATTGGAATGTTTTTTTCATAGGTTGAAGCAAGAAAAGACTGAAAGTTTGCCCTCTGTAGGTTGGTGTTTGAGGCTCTCGGTGCAAACCTCAGAGTACGGCGGTTCTAAAAAGTGCGGAAATCCTCCTCCTAAAGTGAATTATGTGTTTATATAGGAACAATGGTAGATCAGGGATATATCCTCGGTCAAGGATTTGTCATCAGTTCAGTCTTAAATATGACTAACAGGGTTATAAAAAGGATATCCACCAGCAAACCTCTCTAATTGCTTAAGATGAAAAAATCATGCCTAAGTGTTAGTCCTCTAATTTAGTAGCTAGAAGGAGCCTTCTCATGTCAGCAAGTCTAATCATTTTCCTTCTATGTGAATAAAGGACCTAGAAAGATAGAGTGACTTGTTACATCAGTAGCCATTAGCGAGGTGAGACCGGAAGCAGGCTTTCCTAACCAAAAGTCTGCATCGGTATGTTCATTCCTCTGTCCATACATCGGTCTCTCCATTCCTTTGTCCCTCTGTGTCTGTGTGTCCATCTGTGCATAAGTCTGTCCATCAGCGCATCCAGTAGTGTCACCAGGCACTGTGCTAGCATCCGTGCTGGAGTCAGAGCTGGTCCAACTCCTGTTGGAGTGTGGTCAGTACCGTGATGGTGAGTGTGGGCTGCTGTTGGAGCAGTGGGAGCACTCTGCGCTGGACCACTGAATCCCTAGAGTCCAGCACGGTGGGCATAAATGTGCTTCCTGCAGCGGGTGTAGAGTCCTGGTGTGGTGTATGGTGCGTCCGGGTAGCATGTGTTTTATGTGTTTACAGGGTTTGTATACATCCATTTAAAATGAGTGTCTTAGCCATAATTAATAAATTTGCTTTTGTGTTTAGCATTTAGAAGAGATTTTGGAAGATAGCTCGGATGTGTTAAATAATACAACAGTAACAAAAATTGATTGTTAGCCTGCCTTGTTTCTTCTTGTGAGGATCTTTTTTCCTTCTCAGTACAAGATTGATTTGTGTGCAGTGCAAAAAAGTTGGGAAACTGCAAAGAACTTGTAGTAGTCTCCCGCCCAGAGACCATCAATAGTGATGTTTTAATGTCTGTTTTTCTAGTTCTTTTCTACACACAGACTCTTTAAAAATATTTCTTATAAAAATAGAAGCACTGTTGGACACTTACGAAGTTTATCAAAACCTCATAAACATCCTTATATATGTCTTTATATAAATTATAGTGACTTAAGAGATCAGCTCCTGGATTGGGGGGTAAGCACACTTCTCTGGCTTGGTTAGGTTTCCTGTGGCAAACTGTGCCATGTAGAAGCATTTCACTGAAGAATCTTCCCCACATGAGCCACTGCTGTACCAGGTCACTGGAAACACCAGCAAGGACCAACTGAGAGGCTTTGGAAAGACTTCTTTCAATTTGGTCCTTTCCTTTAATCTTTTATTAGATTATGTTCCACCTCACATTTTACCCCAGCCCTTCCTTCTTCCAGCATCAAGGAGAGCCTGGAGGGGGAAAGTAACAGAAGCTTCTTACTGGGCCTGAGAGAGAAAGGCAGAGTTACAGACTCATTACAGACCAGCCTGGGCTTGTTGGTAACTCCAGCTACCTGAATCGCCTCTACTCTTCCCTCTCTGCTGCCCCTCGAAGCCACTTTCCTGATGGTGTTTTGGGTATTTTGGTGCAGACTATAGTATATGGATAAAGGAATTAGAAACTTAGACCTGCAAAGTGATGAAATACTTTTATTTATTTTTATTTTTTTAAAAGATTTTATTTATTTGAGAGAGAATGAGAGAGAGAGAAAGCACATGATGGGGGGGAGGGTCAGAGGGAGAAGCAGACTCCCTGCCGAGCAGGGAGCCCAATGCGGGACTCGATCTCCAGGATCATGACCTGAGCTGAAGGCAGTTGCTTAACCAACTGAGCCACCGAGGCGCCCAAAGTGATGAAATACTTTAAAAAGGGGGGGGCTGTCTGTAATTTTTATTTAGATACTGTCTCTGTAGTTTGGTCAAGATGTCATCTAAAGGTGGCTAAGTTACTATAATTTGACTATAACAGCAAAAGATTATAGCATCTGTTTTACACTTTTTTCTATAAAAATCAAATTATAAAAATTTGATCCTATAGATCAAATATTAGTATGCAGAGAACAGTTCTTCTAAGATTTATATAATTTTTATAGGTATTTTATAGAAACATAAACTCAAATATAATTGGCTTTTTTTTTTTTTTTTTACTGTATTAAATTGCTATTAATCACCAGATAAACTGTGGATTTCCCTCTTCGTTGAAGAGTTTGAATTTGCCCTGAATTTTTTCATGGACCCTTAAGATTGGTTTCTTTAATTCAGTTCCATTCTTGTTGGGATGAAGCCTGTCTTTTTGAGGAAATTTTTCTGAGTGGTATGTTTTCCTAGTCTCTCCAAATCTAAGAGTGTTTTCCAGTTTCCTTTGCATATGAAAACCTGAGCATGCTCTTAAAAGCATTACTCCATTGTCTTGAGTTTTCCTGTGCAGAGATTGGTGTGGTACTCTGTTTAATTATGGCTCCTTCTCATTGGCTTACTTCAGAGGTCGGTGAACATGTTCCAGTTCTCCTGACTAGGCCACAAAGGGCTGAGAGTGGAGTAGACAATGTAGAGATTAGAAACGAGGAGCTTACCGTGCAGTTTGCTCAGAACAGAGAGGAATAAAAGCAAGTCTAAAAGTTTTTTAGTTGAAAAGAAATTGGAACCTGGTTCCTCTTGGTCTTCTGATTTTGATCCATAAAGAAGCTGACACAAAGCTTACTTCTTTATGGAAAGGTAAGAGATTATTTACCTGCTTTGAGAATGTGATCTACTTAGCAGTTTGGGAAAGAATTGGTTTTACCACGAAGAAATTTAAGTATAAATAGTATAAGGTATTGATAAATATAGGCAAAGTAAAAGACAAGAATTGTCAGCAAATTCAAATTGTTATAGATCTCTTAGATCCAAGAAGGCAGAAGTAGAAACGAGGGCATCACTGCTGCTCAGTTTAACTGGATTTCAGCAAATGCACTACGTGTCGCCTTTGATACTGGATGAGAACTCTCCTTTGGTGCAAATACACAGAACGTTTTGGGCTTGCCTGCCTCTCCACAAATAAGGTGGAGATGAGGCTTTTCTTTAAAGTTATACTCTGTGTTCTCTTACTTAGTACTGACAGAGGTAAGCCTTCTAAAAAATGGAAAATTATTCTTCATTGTTACTATGTACTCTTCCCCTCAAAAGAGGTGGGTAAGAAAAGCCCACTTGGGGGCTCCTACTAAGTGTGCGGACATTTTATATTCTGGCCTGTGGTTCTATTTATGACCGTTTTTGGGCTTCTCTCAAGAGTTTGAAGGACACAATTCCATGTTCCTCTGCTTCAGTGTTTGGAGGACAAGATAAGATCAAAGCTTCATGTTGATATTTCCTTGTGACTTTTCCTCTAGTTAACAAGAAGCCCCCTATGCAACTTCCTGCGCTTCCATCAAGTACTCAGAAATATTTTGTCTCCCTCAGCTAGTTCTCTTGAGTTTACCTCCTAAATAGCATTGGGCTTCTTTGAATACAAACTTTTACAAAAGTAGGATATTAGGGCAAATAAAATACAAGTTTCAGAGTGGCATAAACCAAATTTTTCATTGAAACAAGGATTTAAGGGAAGACTTCTTTGGGTAAAAAGAGTATCTATCTGAAGATATCCATAGGAAGACTGGTTACCGTGAACATTTTTATAAATTTCCAGAGAGGTAGTCCACTGCTTTCTGTGCTGTGAAATTCTAGGCCTGCAGGACTAGGAGATTGTAACCCGGTAACCTGCTGTTTTGTTCTCCAGCTCAGCTAGGCTTTCAGTGCTGCCTGGCATGGCCCCTCCTCCTGTCGCCAGGGCTAGCGGCGAGGCTCTGCCACCCTTCAAGGCTCTGCCCTTTCTGCCTTCCTCTTCTCACTCAGCAGTAGGTGGTGACCTCTACTTTCCAAAGTTTTAAGTTGCTTAAATGAAGTAATGTAAAAGATGTATTAATCTTTATTTAAAAAATTCATTTCACCAGATGTTGACATTTTGCCACACTTGTTTACACACACACACACTTTGTTGACCCATTTAAGAGCTGCTTGAGAACATTGTGATTCTTAATATTTCAGGATGTTATCTCCTGTAAACAGTGACATTCTGTGTAACTGGAAAAACAGTGTCATACTCAGTAAAATTAATAATGTTGTCTAGTATGTCTTAGACATTCAGTCGTTTTGATGTCCTTCACAGCTTTTTGGTTGTTGGATCCAAGGGCCAGTCAAGGTTGATGCATATCTGCCCTCTTTCAGGTCCCCAGCCAGTTTTGTTTTGTTTTTAGGACTATTGACGTTTTTGGAGACTGCCACCTGTTTTGCAGAATGTCCTCATTTAGGTTTATTAGCAGCTTATTTTCGCACAATTATATAGTGGGCATCTTGGTAGGAGTCCTTCCCTGGTGATGTGTCCGCGTGTGTCACGTTAGGAGACACATGCTGTCAGCTAAGAAAGGGATCCTCCGTTTGCTAGTGTGGTTGGCACGGTGTCTGCTAGATTTGCCCGTTGTCCAGGGGCCCTTTCCCCTTTGTAATTAGGAGGAAATCTGTGGGCTGGACTTGGGTACTGTGTGAGCATCTCCTTCCTTAAGTCTCACGCCTGGGTTTTAGCACATGGCATGATTCTTGCCCCAGTCTGTTGTTACTAGGCTGGATATAAATGGTGATTTTCTATTTCTGTTATTTCTGTAATTATTTGGCTTCCTTTGGGAAGAATTTTTTTAGTATTAGTTGGATTCATGGATTCTTCTCAAATCAGTGTTATAGTCCATTCCTCTTACTCATTCTGAGGCTCAAATGGTCTCTAATTTGGCCCCTTCAAGCTAACTCCTGACTTTTCAAGTTTTTATTTGGAAATCAGTTAAAAAAGTTCAGTAAGATTGCAGAGATTAGTATAAAGGACACGGGTTGTATCCTCTCTCCACAGTGATCTGTTAGCGTGATGCCATCTGTGTCATTTGTATTCTGCACGTGGAGAGGAGGTTGCGCATGTCACTCTCCCCCAGCGCTGCAGCACATGCTTCCCGGGAATAGCAGTCTCCTTGTGCAGGACCAGAGTGTAGTCGTGAGATTTTTATCTCCTCTATCACCCAGAGTCTAGTTCTGTTAGTTTGCCCAATGACGTCCTGTGTGGTTTTTCATTATAGCTCAGGATCCAGTCTAGGATCAGGCATTAGCTTGAAGTACCAAGTTTTTCTAAATTTCTTCATTCTGGAATATTTCCAGAGCCTCTCTCTCTTTTGACATTGACATTTTTGAAGAAGTCTGTTCCCCTCCCCATCTTGCTTTTTTAGAAATGTTTTTCATTTGGGGCTTTTCAGAGGCTTCCCAATGGTTAGATTCACGTTACGCATTTCAGGCTGGAGATGGTACATAAATGACCTGTTTCTTAGGGCATTGTATCTGGAGACCTACGTCCGTCTGCCTTCAACGATGATGTTAAAACTTTTTATTTCATAGGCAAAAAAAAAAAAAAAAGTTATAGCCAACCAAATATCCTGTTTCTCTTAAACACTTCCCCCGATTTAGCACTCAGTCACAGATGGTTCTTGCCTGAACCAGTCTTTAGTGTACTTTTTGCAAAAATGGTTTTTTTCAGTGCTCTCTCCATGTTTAGTCAGTTAGAAGTCTGCATTCTGCAGCATCCTTTCTGCCATTTATTATTGGTATGGATTCATGAATCCCTGTTCTCCATGGCTTTTGGTTCATTTCTGTCCTGATTTTGGTGTTCAGATTGAGATTTGAGCTAAAAGGAATCTTCTTTAAGCTAGCTCCTCTGTCCTTTTGCCATGTCTTCGTTGTTGAGGACTTGCTTTTTAGCACAATAACATGTATATGTATTTTTATGTCTGCCCCATATGTTATAAATTAATACCTTGAGTTCACACTCATATACCCAATTCTAATCCAGGATTTTAGGGTTCACTCTCGTAACTCCCTTCTCTGACAGTGAGAAATCTGATTCACATTATCCTTAATGTAGTTACTTGACGCCTCTGTATGTAATTTCCCATCACTGTTGCTAGCAGCCTCCACCACAGGGAGATGCTCCTTCCTTTTCTTGGGCTCCCTCCATCCTACCACAGATGCCTGCTTTACTTGCTCCACTTACTGGCTTTAGGACTAGATTGTTCAGGAAGGGAAAGAAGGCAAGAAAATGATAAGCATACCACTATTTTAGTACTTCCTTATTTTCTAGCACAAGTTTTTCCAGGAGTGTCTAGTAAATACTAAAAGATATGACTTTGTCCTTATTCTTGATAAACTAGCTGAAGGTTGGGAAGAAAAAGCCATAAAGTCAGTAAACACCTTATATTCAATTATGGCTAGTAAACTAGATTTTGTTGTCAGTATTCTAGTGTTAAGCAAATAGTTTTCTTCTCTCTTTTCCTGAGTTCACATAATGCTCAAGTTAGAGGTTAGCTTAGCAGTGACCGGGATGCAGTCAGATTTTGAGAGCATTTTCTCAGTGGAGTAGTAAAGGAAAAGTGGCTAGTGTACTTTATATCAGAACAAATTCGGAAGGGAGGTATTGGAACTCAAACAGGAGACCTCTTCTTGTCATTGACCGAAACCCTGAGGCATTTGTGCTAGTCAGCACGTGACTTCATTTTTTATTTAGAAAATACCCTAAGGTTAAAATAGAGTAGGACATTCCACGTATGTCTAGAAAAAATTGCTGCCTTCAGAATGTGACAGAATATAGGAATAAAGATTATTGTTTGGATGAACACGATTTTCCCCCTAGTTTGGAAACTGTCTAGAGGTGCATGCATTGAAGCCTGAAAATAGTGGTCTGACACCCAGTGCTTCTCATACTGCAGGTGGGAAAAGGCAGCACAAGCCTTTGTGGTTAACAGGAACCTGAGATAGACCATGCCGTTGGCATCAACTAGCAGTTTTATCTTAGGCACAACGTATGTAACTTCTTTGGGCCTTGGTTTTCTCATCTGTTAAAAGTGGGATGGTAGGGGCACCTGGGTGGCTCAGTCCTGAAGCGTCTGCCTTCGGCTCAGGTCATGATCCCAGGGTCCTGGGATGGAGCCCCGCATCGGGCTCCGTGCTCCACGGGAAGCCTTCTCCCTCTCCCACTCCCCCTGCCTGTGTTCCTTCTCTTGCTGTCTCTCTCTCTGTCAAAAAAAATCTTTAAAAAAAAAAAAAAAACTTAAAAAAAAAAAAGTGGGATGGTAGTTGTACTTAAAGGGTTGTGAGGATAAAATGTGTTTATAAAGTGCTTAGAACAGTGCCTGATACATAGTGCTACATCTGCATATCCTTAAGATACAATAAAGGCTGAAATACAAAGATTCAAGTATTTTGATACTACTTACAAATCTAAAGAGGATTAAAGAAAATGTGTGATCACTTGGTGTACAGTGATTTTTATGGTTGAGATTATGTAACATACTCTTCCTTAGGTAGTGTGCTGTCAGAGCTGGGCTTGATGGATCACTGGTCAGAAAAAAAAAATTAGTTTTTGATTCATCAAACTGGAAACGGAGAAGTTATTAGCTCATTAATTTCCAGTTAATACTAAGCATTTGGTTTCTTCAGGTAATGCAGTGTGAACTTTTAAAATGTGATTGGCTTAGTTGCTTTTCAAAGCATCCAACAGTTTTTTTTTTTTAAATGACATTTTAACATGATACAGTGGAAAAAGTTCTAAACTCTGGAATAACTGACCTGCGGTCACAAGCTATTTTTGTTCCATTTTCCTACCTGCAAAATAAAGTAATAAAATAAAAACTGTGGTTCTTTTCAGCTCTTACTTGCTTTTGATTCTTAGATTTAGATTGTGCTTTGCAATAATTGGCAATCCCTCTCCTAAAATATTGCTTTCATTTTGTAAGATAAGGAACTGAACAGACTTCAGGTCAGGTGCACAAGCAGTTTCTCTAAGATGAAACCCCAGCATAGTAGCCGACTTCTTGGCTTTCTAGTTCTCTTGCAAGCAAAGCTTGGCCTGCCTCTTACAGAAGTGGCCTCTAATGTACAGAACTTTGAAATGCATCTCGTCCTGAGTTATCCTGGCTGACTCCCCTTTCCTGCTGTGGCACCATTTTTCTCAGCTGCTTGAACAAATCCCATTTTTTAAACTCCTCTTTTACTCATCTTCTGAATTTTTTTGTTTTACTGTCCCTCTTAACCCACTTACCCCATTTCTGTGTATCCCATTTCACGCAGCTCCAATGAGTAATTTTATAGGCCAAGCTGGCCAAGGTTCTAGAATCAATTTTGATTTGTTATAAAATTAATGTAAACCATATTTGGTTTACACACACACAAGCAAGCTTGATGGATTCTGGGATTCAGCTGAATAGCATCACTGAAAGGCTGGCTTTTCCTTATTTCTTAGAATTACGGCGAGCAGTAAGAAGCAGCGTGTGGAGAAGGGAAACAGTTGCTCATCAACATGAGTATGGACCAGAAGAAAACCTGGAGGATGACATGTATCGGAAGACTTGTACTGTGTGTGGCCATGAGCTGACATATGAGAAGATGTGACTAGTTAAGTGTCAAGTATTCACAGATGAATGAACACTCGTGTAAATAATGCTTCAGGAAGAAATGTGTATGTTACGGCTTAAGAGCAAGTTTCAGTTAGAGTCCAGCAGGTCTGGTTGTGGGCAAAATACTGGGTCTGGGATTGCTTTTCTCTACAACAGGGATGGGAGCTGAGGGGTGGAATAGGTTCAAAAGTTAGGTTAGAGCTAAAACTGAGAAATAAACCAAACCAAACCCTAGATTGGAATAGGAGGAAGAGCTTTTAGTAAGGGCAGAAGCAGCTGAAGCAGATTCTTCTCCCAGCAAACAAGGGACAGTAGTAGATCCTGCACCCCGGAGGCTCGCCGGGTCTTCTAGATGCTGTCTCCACGTGAGGGAGTGGAGAGCTGCTGTTGGACAAGGCCTGACTGGACAGCAGGAATTGAGTCGTGGCAGTCTGATCATGTTTTCTGTATCCTTACAGTTTACTACCATAGGCCCTAAGGTCCGTGTCTAGATAGCCCTTTTCAAATATGGATTAAAGTGGAAAAACAGCCATATTGTCTTATTGATCAAAAAAGGTACTAAGTTTATCCTAACTTGTTAACATTTTACAGAGCACTTACGATGGATCAGGCAGGTGTGATGCGAAATGGCTTACAGGTATTCTCATTTAATCCTGGGAGGGAGGAGAACTTCTGTGTTTACTTAGCACTTTTAAAGGATGTGATAACCTACAACCCGACATCACCCCAGGCATCTGGATCAAGTTTAGCTAGTCAGTTTTGCCCATCTTGCCAGAAAGATCACAAGGTAGTTGGAGCTAGTAGGAGGATTTGTGCTTGACTACAGGGTCTGTGCATTTTTTTTTTTTTTTTTTTTAAACAAAACCTGTTCAAGTTAAGATAAACTGGGTATTTTCAAGTTGTTCTTTGACATGGCTTTTTTAGTCCGGTTGCTACAAAGAGAATAGGAAGTTTATATGTTTTCATCTTCCTTTGTAGATCAGCTGTCCTGGAGATTATGCTTGAAGAAAGGCAAGTCCAAACTAGTCCAACTCAAATAGACTTGAGACTGTAATTACTAATTGTTCTCTAAGAATTCAACATAGAAATGTTTAGTATATTAGTCAAGTGTTGATTTTTTTTTAACGTGCCATGCTAATTACTGATTTAGTAAAAATTTATTCAGAACGGGTAGCAAGACCTTCCTGGGACCCCAGAAAAGCTTCCAGCTTGATGTCAACAGAGTAACAAGGGGTCTAGGCAGCTGACAACGATATTAACTGCGTGGGCCATAAAGAGCCGTTGCGCCCCATGGCCCTAGGTTCAAATTCCACTTTTTAGCTGTGGGCCTTGGGCAGGTTACTCCATGGGCCTCTTTTTATCTGCTGGGTGGGCACAATCATCTCTCAGAGGATGGTTGGGAGGATTAAATAGGGTGAATCTGGCATGTGGCACAGAGTAGCCACTTGTTCATGAGCACGTATTCTAATCAGGACAGTATAGTTCTAGATTTGTCTAGTTTCACGTATGCTTCTCTTCAGTCTTTCATCACTTGAAGATGACCCCAGTATCCAGAGAACACTGACAGCCCAATGTATTCTACCCAGGTTGGCAAGTTCTTTCCTCATTTTCAGGCATAATTACAGATTAGTAAATTATACAACAAATTACTAAATACTTTCCAGGAAGAGCAAGCAAACTTATTTTCATATGAACCACTGCCTGAATTATTCCCGGAAGGGAGATTTAGAATCAAGGAAAACAAAGCATATGTTCGTTCACTTTGACAAAGGAAAGGTTAAATGGCATTGATAGAATATTTAACGTTGATTTTTTTGCAGATACGGTAGTGACATGCCATTCTTTTGTATTAGCTGCTTTAGGGGGGAAAGCAGCTACTGAATGTTTTTGCTCTTAATACTTTTTGAAATTCAACTTCTAGGTTTTTTTTTTTTTTTTTTTTATAAACTTAGCTGCCAAACTGTACAGAGGAGGGTCACATCAGGCAATATTACACATGAAGAGAGGATCCAAGAGAAAAATTCCTCTAGACTTGGGATCAAGCAGGTATAACCAGTCAAACTGCAGTACACTGGGATAGGGAGGGCTACAGGGCAGTATAGGGTCAGTTACCAGAGCCTTAAATGGTTATCGTTTTGGCTTCCTGAGGACAGGAGCCATGTCTAACTGACTGCTGTTTGTGGGAAGGAGGAATAGCATAACCAAAAGAATATTTAGACAAGAACCTGGGCGTTAGTCCCTTTCCTGCTAGTAACTTGCCCTGCACCCTTAATTCTGTGAATAATTGTTTTAAATGGTATGGTATTTAAAAATCCTAGGAATTCCTATCTCTTGAGTAGACTATATTCTGTAGCCACTAAATGCAGGGTAAACAAAAGAGACTGGGTAACAATATGAAAAATATTAATGCATTCTAAATTTATGATGTAGTAAGTTAAAAATACCTGTGTTGTACACAGGCACAGGAATACTACTTAGCAGTTGTGGGGTTGTTGATAAAAATTTTTCCTAAGGTTTAGTGAAGTCTTAAAATGCTTACAGTTTGCAATGTCAGATAATCCTTTATGCTTATTTTATGTGCATGCTTACCTCAGTTAAGCTTTAATACTGTACAGGAAACAAGCTCAAGAATTAGTAATTACTTGCACCAAGTTCTGTAGAAACAAAACCCAAACCTATATCTAATTCCAAGTACAGTTTTAGCCAATCTAGGTACTTCTAGTTCCACTTTACCATGTACCTCACTAGTGGGCCTTGGACAAATCTGTCTCTGAGACTAGAGGAGATGACTAGATCGCTCTCAGTTTCCCACAGCTGCCACACAATGGACAGCACTGGGGGAAGACTTCAGAACGCTGGCTGGCTCTGTTTCACCCTCAGAGATTGTGGTTTAAATTAGAATATAACTGTAAAGAATTTGGGTAGTGCTACTCTGAATAACATTAATAAGTAATGTCTTAAAATATTAAGATACTTTGGAGAGAGAATTCCAAATGAGGGAAGTAGACGTTCAATAAGAAACCACTGATTTTCAAGTAGACTGAGATGATAAATCATGAAATACCAAAGTTTAAAAAACATTTTTAGTTTTATTTCAGCCATATTAGGTTATCCATGAGCTGGGAGAAGCTATGCTACTTGATAGTAAACCCACTGGTTCTATATACTACTTTGTAAGCTGGACCTCTAGTGTTCACATACCTCAAATCACTTTTGTGCCTTAAGGAGGAAAAAATGCCAGAAAAGTTGTATCTGTCACATATATAACACATCCTATGGTCATCGTCACATTGTCAGTCGGGAATTTCTGCTCTGTGCGGGCAATTAAAGGTAATCAATGCTTTATTCTTCACTGTCCTCCTCCCCCTCCCCCTTTAGTAAGTGAAAGGATGCTACAAGAAAGCAAGCATTCAAACCATCAAAAAAATAAGACAAATTATTTTGAGCTATTTTTAAAAAATCTTGACGGGGGAATAAAAGGACCCTCAGGCCTGTAGGGCACAGAACTGCTGGAACACAGCCAGGATATGAGGATCTAACTCAGCAGTGAAGAGCAGGTTCTCCAGGGTCACCATGTACTGCTGGATTATTTGGTGATGCTGTGGACACAGAAAAGGGGAGGCTTAGGTCAGGAAAAAGACCACTTGAGCAATCTTGCGGAACACTTCCCTCAGCAGCCTGCCCACGTTGTGGAATGGTGGGAAGGGGTAGGAGGAAAAAAGTGGTTATGCTTGAGAGGAAGAATGGGCTCCTGAAAAGCCTTAACGTTAAGAAAATGTAGTCGGAAATAAAGCAGGTAGGATGTGCAATAACTTAGAAACCAACTGGCCAGAACTGGATTTGAATGTAAACGTAATTCATGCTTGAGAGCGGTGGCGGCTGCAGGCGGGGCGGCTGGGTCCCTATGGACCAAGACAAAAGTAGCCCAGACAGGGACTGGCCCAAGATGAAAAACCACCCAGGAAAGCGGATGAAAACTATGGTTGCTGAGACATGAGTAAAGATACTTGGCACTACTTTCCCTTTTTCGTTTTACCGGTTAGAGCATTTAAAATTATTTTCTTTTACAAAGAGATAACAGATGACTGGCTAATTCTCTAGTAACTACTCCACAAAATAAGAAACCCAAACTTCATTTTGTCTGTTAAAAATAAACAGCTCATCTGTCTCACTGAAAATCCGACCTGTTGAGGCTATGCGGCGGGGGCGAAACGTGACAGAAAATGCCAATCTCTTCTATGTGTGCCTGTATGACTTGCACATACTGAGGCCCCTGTAGGCCTAGCGAACAGCAATTAGGAATCTGGATGGTAGAGGAATCGTTTAAGCCTAAATATGCTGATAAGCCACAGTAGGAGCAAACGGACATAAAAAGGGCCTTATAGGTACTACAAAACCTGACAAATCTGACCCTTTTTTAAAATGCAAAATCCTTGTGCCTGAGAATAGTGATGTTTATTATCTAAGCAGTTTCCCACAAACCTGTAAGAAGATCTGCTGGAGCCTCTCTATACAGTTCTTATACCATGGGGTTAATACGCTGGTCCCATCAGTCTCACATCGTACTAAGTGCTCGGTCAAGATCATGATAAAACGCTGGAAAGGGGGTACAAAGTTAAAGCAGTGTTACAGGGAGAATTCTTATACTTCAGAAAACAATCACATTTTCGACCAAGAGACCTCAAAGGCTTTCCTGTTGCACTTGGTCTTTGTGGTATGTATTACCAACTTTCCTAAGTTAATAAATACTGTCAGTCTAGAAAGGCAGACCAGTGCTAATGTTAGTACATCCTTTTTTCAGTACATGAACACCTTTAATATCTAGATTACTATGCTTGTCATTTTTCTCAGCATCTATTTTTAAGGACATAATCAGAAATGCATGTATAAAATGATCATCTATTTCATCAGAAGGGAAAATAAATGATCAACAATTGGGAGTAACTAAATATGAGAGAGGTACTTAAAAGTACCCTCACACATTCTGTTAAAGCCCGGAGCGACGGTCCTGTAAGAACACTAAGTAAACACCACAGACATAGGTTACCTCCAAGTAGAAAACTTTTACTTCCTTTGTAAATTTTTGTCTTTTAAATTTTTATGGATGATTATGTATTATGATTAAAAATCCCATTTTCCAAACTTTTTTTTTACCTATCAGTGTCCCAAGCCAAGATACCTGGAATATGACAAGGAAGAGGTTCTTCTGTTCACTCTGAGCAGATTCCACTTTTTCTTGCAATCTTTCTATCTGCTCCTCCAGAGCCCCATCTTTCCTGTCACTGCTTCTGTCATCATCGTCACTTCGCTGCAGGACGCACAGAACAAAAGGAAAATGCCATTAGAATGCCAGTGTATTAAACCCCATCAAGTAAGGGGTAGGATGTTCCTGTGTCTGGTCAAATGCCGCTTGGAGACTTGTATTCTAAGGTGGAAGTAGTCCGCCACCCTCCGTGCACACATACCCCCACCAGCCCTGTGGGCACTTATCCAGGCCGGGGAAATGTTGTGGCACCTGTCTTGGGTAACAGTGGGTGGGGATGTCTGCATTCCCAGCAGAAGTGAGTTAACACCTTTTATGAGATAGTCCATTCAGGGAGGAAGTGTGTGTCACATTTTTCCTCCATTCAAAATGAAAGCAGCTTTGAGCTCCACGGAAAATGTACAGTAGATTCTTGTTATTTACCATCATTATGTTTATGCGTTTGCTGTGAACCCTGAACTGGTGAACACCGAACCACTGCTTAGGGAAGTACAGGGTTAGATTCTCAGGAGCCTTTTGGCTAAGATAACACACTGTTGTTAAGGCCCCATCTGTGATGGCCGCCTTCTACCCTTGATGCAAAATTATCAGAACCCCCTCTCTGTTTTTACAGAATTCTGCTTTTATCTCTAACG